ACCATAAAAAAAAACCCAAAAAATGTCCGCAGGCGGGGGGTATCGTTGAGATATATAATATGCAATTCCAAAGTCGAACCGGGGCTCCAATGCCAATTTTCTGTGCCCAATTTTTTTTCCTTTTTCTTTTTTCACTTTCTGTTGTGAAAACAACCAGCAAAATGCCCAAATGGATCGAAAAGTCGACCATTTAACCCAGATGTCCCGTTGCGCCCGCCGCCCCGGGTTAAAATAAAAACCCCGTTGTTCATGATTTTTTGCTACCGGTGTGGACTTTTTGTTGAAAAAGACACCGGCTACTGCCTCTGTTGCAAAAAGAAACGCCGCTTTTTGTCGTCTGCGCCGAGATAAAAACGAGAAAAATAAAATATGAATGTGAAAGAAAAGAATAGAAAGAAAAGGGAAGGTGATTAAAGTCTTAGTTGGGATGAAGAGAGCAATACCCAAAAATGGGAATTGGTTAATCCACAACAAGTCTTTACCTCCCTTGGAGAAACTATATCAAGCCGAATTAAGCCGTGGGAGTGACGGGGACGGCGAGGTCCTTGACCTCAAGGCCTTCAAGGAACCCGAAAATGGTGCTGTTCTCGCGGAAATCATTGTTCACTAGATATCGTTAGTCTACTGCAGAAAGAACCAGGCGTGAAGAAACTTACCAATGTTAACGAGATACCACTCATTCATGATTCCCTCAATCAGCGCGCGGCTAGGAGTGTTGGCATCGAAACAGTGAGCCCAGTCGACACCCAGTCGGAAAGCCTCATCTCTCCAGGCTAGGAAACTGACAGACTCAACAATGGTAGGCTGCACAATCTCCTTGCCAGGGAAGACTCCCCAGGTAACGGCGTTGGGACCGTCTGAAGGCGCATTGGACTTGAGCTGTCCGTTCTTGGTAACGGCATAGTAGGTCAAGTTGGGGAAGTCGTCAAGGCGGCTGATCATCTCCTCCAAGAGGTAAGGTGGCATCAGCAGCTCGAGGTAGGCCTTTTGGTAGACGTAGCCGTTTGAAGGTCCCCAGCCGTGAACGGGGTGGTTGGACTTGGCGCCGTCCACTGCAGGCTGAGAGTTGATGGTGAGGAGACCCCTCTTGTTGAGAGCCACGAGGTCGTCCTTGATGGGATCAGCTTCGGCGGCAAGACCTGACTCGCTCCAGGGCAGAGTTTCAAGCTTCTTCTCAAGGTACTGGACAAACGTGTTGGCAATATCTTGGATCGACGCGGGCTCGCCCCATTTCTTGCGGTTCTGCTCGTTGGTGCCAGTCAAGCCAATGCCATAGGCGTCGAGCTCTCCGAAAGCGGGCGAGCGAGAGTCACCCCATCGACCGTTGGGGAACTCGTCCCAGTCCTGAGTACGAATAACATAGGACTTGTTGCGGTTGCGCCAGAAAATGGGGCGCACGTCCTCGTCGCGTCGGCCAAAGCCTTTGGACTGCTTCCAGGGAAGGGCCTGCTTGAGAGGATTTTCGGCTGAAGGGGTCCAGTTAAGCTCGTCGAGGACCATGCGAGTGGCCTGAGCAAGGTTCATGGTGTAAAAGTGAAGATGGTGAATGCCATTGGCAAGAAGCTTCTTGCACAATTCGGCAACCAAAGTCTTGCCAATTTCACGCACGGCCACATCGTCGTTCTTGACTGGCTCGAGCTTGGCCATCCAGTCTGGAGGGACCCTGCACTGCATGTGTTTAGCACGGCGAAGGAAACTGGCATACGTGGCAATGGGCATGATTCCGGGCAGGATGGGGATGGTGATGCCGCGTTCGCGGACCTTGCCAACCCATCGGATAAAGTTGTCCGCATCGTAGAACATCTGGGTGACAATGAAACCAGCTCCCATGTCCACTTTCTCCTTGAGATGGTCAAGCAGCGATTCCTCATCCTTGTTGTCGTCGCATCCTTCGGGGTAGCCGGCAACGCCAATGTCAAAGTGGTCGCCATATGTGTCACGAATGTGCTTGACTAGATCGCGAGCATACTGGAAGTTCCCATCTGCAGCAGTCCACGATTCTTGGTCACGGGGAGGGTCACCACGGAGGGCAAGAATGTTGGTGCATCCAGCCTTGTACGCCTTCTGCAGGGCATCATTGACCTTTTCAAGTCCCATGTCTGTGCAGGTAAGGTGCATGCAGGTCTCGAGGCCGTAGACAGCCTGAGCTTGAACAACCATTTCACAGGTCAGCTCTGCAATGCCACCACCGGCACCCCATGTAATGTCGATGAACTTGGGTCCAAAGTTGTTCATGCGGTCCATACGATCGTAAAGATTTTGGACACCCTGGGCCGTTTTCGGAGGGAAATACTCGAAGGAGAAGGACGGGGCCTTCGACTTCTCCGTCTCGGCGACCAAACTTTTGATATGCATGTTGGGCGAGCAGCAAGGAGCAAGACAATGCTGACGGGATCAGCAGGAAAGGGCAAGAGACGAAAAGCAGGTTGACAATGCGAATGGCAAAGAGTCAATTTGATTGCTCGTGCGCAAAGGTTCCTATTGCTATCGGAGAGCGAAGAGTTAGCAGGGACAGAGTCCGACAGAGGCTGGCCACGCGGATCAACCCACCACAGACAAGAGACTGCCAAAGGACGAAAATGAGTGAAATGGAGCGTTTGGTTGCGCCGCTTCGACTGAAATATGCTGCAAAGAAGCGGCAAAGTCGAACCGACAGCGATCGTAACGATTATTCGCAAGCCAGACTAATTTCGTCCAACGCCGCCGACAGTCCGCCGAGTGCGGGTCGCAAATCTGTCGAGGATGGATTCGAGCGATTCACTCGCAAGAGAGAACAAAGCGGGAGAGGATGAGAGGTGAAGGAGGGAGAATAGGGAAATAGAGGAGAGTATCAAGAGATTGCAAGAGGAAGAGGTGCAAACAAATCAAAGAGGGGGGGAGTCACAAAGTAAAGTAAAACGGCGTCAAAGAAGAATATGGCCGAAATTTGTATGCGGAACAATGAATGACAGATGCGACCTGGGGCGCTCTCCGAATTATGGAGGGGCTGTGATTGGGCCAATTGAGGGTCACCGCCCGCCGAGTTAGGAATGGCGATGTACAGGCTACTTGCAGGGTACTCGCCAGGTGTCCGCTTTGTGTCTCTGCAGCAGAGCAACCTGGGCGCATGCAGTGATACCAGTTGCAGGTGATATTCTATGGATGGGGGAAAAAAGACCGCAGCGGTTACACAGAATTTCGAGAAGGATCTACAGAGGGCAAGTAGTATTTGCTGATGATGGCCAGGGATGCAAGATGCATGTCCGTTGCGCATGTAAGATGTGCTAACGTAGGAATACCTGCACGAAGCCTGGAACGCTGCGCAAGGATCTGTACCCTGTACGCTCTGGGCCGCGAAAAAAGGGATCCATGGAAAGATGCAAAGAAAAGAGCAAAAGAATGAGTTGTTGAGCGCGTAACGCTTACACGTGGTACAGCTGCTCGTACTCGTATCTATAAATCAAATCCTACCTATGAATCACTTATCTACCAAGTATGTTTCTGCAACTACAACTCCTTGTGAGAGGTGAGAAAAGGCAAACAGGGCCAATAAACAGATTCAGTGCCTCATGGGATTTTTTGCTGACCATCCATAGCGCCGTTGTCTTGTTGTTCCACATGGGGAATATCTCCGAGTCCCTCAATGGTGAGCTGATTGATTGATTGATTGATTGATTACAAGATGGCATAACGTACCCGCAAACAAACTTGAACGACAGCAATCGATGGAAACTAAAAACAACAATCTCTTTTAATTAATTCAAAGCAAACAAGCATCTATTACAGGTAAAGATTAGCCTAATCAACAAGTCCATATTGTAGTCAATCCAGGTGTTTCCATGTGATTCATCTCATTCATCAATTTGTTGAGCACCCCTCCCCCGCTGTCGTAAAAGTCGCATGTGGAGGTACCCGGTACATTCACTCTACTTCCTCCCCGTCTGACAGCATCTCACCCGCACTTCATTCCACGACTCCGTATCAATCACACACTGTGCTCCGATACTACATCACCTATTGTTACCCTTCCCTTCCTTGCTTTTTTACGAAGTGCTAAAATACTATCCTATTTACATTCGAAATCTACAAAAGCCAGATCAATCTTCTCCAATTGCGTTGCCAATGACGAAATCAAGGGTCCAGCTGTCAGATTTAAGGCTGAATCAAGCAACACCGAGGCAGATGGTCGTGCTATCAGAGCTTCCCGCAGGTAATAAAAGTCAAAATGAGAGCATTCCATGCCCAGATACAGTTTCACGTGTATATAAACACTGTGGCCGTCATCTCTTCAACGCATCCTCGCATGGTCTGCCTGTCTGGTCCGTCCCCTACACTGCATACACAGTAGCCGGCCACCTGCTTCTGCCTCGGTGGATTATTTGCACTACTATGTGAAACCTAGGTAGCTTATTTTCAAGTTACTTGGAGAATCATTCCGCAACCTGATACCTACGTTGTAGTTTGAAGCAACTAACCAACCCTGCTGGCAACGGCCCGTGTAAGCCCACAGCGGTGTGCGTGTGTGTCCAAGTACATGTAGGTAATCCGCGATGCAACCCCGAAATCCACCGATAGAATTCACCGAACAGGCTTCATCGCTGCTAGTATCGAAGATAGTATACATTTAATACTCGTATGTGATATCGAGGTCGAGATTTTACGTCCATTTGCAGTGATATACCTCGACACGTATCCCATGACTGTTGTACACACTGAGCGCCTTGTCTGACTTCACGCCTACTCTCTCATCCCCTCATGTCTGATGCAGGCACCCGCTTGTTTGCCGTCTTATATCTTGCTAGGATATCTCACAACCGTGTTAGCAGATAATACTAGCTAGGATTAGCTTCGGGTCTCTGCATCTACAAATGGCCGAAGCTGGCTGATCCTCCTCGGTCTCACGCAGAGTGAGCTGTCATGCTCTTCGCCAAAGATATAGGTCCGGGACTCTCGTTCTCATAGCCTTATCTCCGCTGTTTCAAAAAGAGAGTGGAGGATAGGTGACGCATCGAGCCCGGCTCTCATGATGGTGTCCCCTTCAATGCCAGCGGCGGCGCTCCTCTCAATTGGCGCCAGCGGTTGCTGTTCTCAATGACATCTCGGTCAAATATGAACCACCATCGTTCAAAAAACACCTGGCCCACCTCCCAGCTATTTGGATCATACGGATCTCCGCCATAGATGCGAATACCCTCTGCATTATCCTCAAAGTCATACGCAAAGTTGACCAAGGCAAGCGGGCCCTTCGCATTGGGGGGCCGCATCTCATCCGGCATCGAAAATATGTTAATCACCCTATCACGAACTTCCGGCCACGGCAGGAAATCCAGCATCGGATGATGCGGGACCAGAATCTGAGAGGCAGTGGGCTTCCATGCGGCGGGGAGTTGCTCGCTCGGCGTAGCGATTCCTTGGGAGAACGGAGACACAGCCTCCAGATTCCAAAGCTGTTGGCCGCAGCCAATGCGCTCTGATATTCTCAATACCGCCCGCAGTAGAGTAAGTTCGTGAACAGGTAAGAGATAGCTGTCGGCAAAGCTTCCATCCGACGACGATGATGATGGAGAAGTGCTGTCCCAAGTTGGTGGCATCATATCCGTCAAATTTCCATCCAGGCTTTCACTGTTGCTGAAAATGAAACCCTCCTCTCCAGAGCTTTCCCCTGTCATTGATGCAGATGAGAAATTCGGAATATTTATTGTATTTGAAAGTAACAATGGCATCGACGAATTGCTATTCATGTTGTTGTTGAACATGGTCGTAGTCCACAAGCCGAGGTCAATCCCGTTCAAGCCACCAGCAGTTGGAGAATGGCTGGAGGTCGAGATGATTTCAGCCTCAATCTCTCTATCATTATTGCTCTGTGATTCGCCTATAACATTGTTGTTTTCTTTGCTTTCCTGACCGTTTTCATTGTTTCTTTCTTTTTGTCGTCGCAGGCGCTTCTTCTCTCCTAACTCACGGGTAAGCAAATGACAGGAAGCTGACAGCGTTGCCGTTTGGTGCAACACCGGGAGGTACCACTGACTGTACCTGCGCTGTGCTAGCACATTAAGAATCCGTTTTCTCTCCGGCGCGTTTTCCTCAATGTCTGGTACTTCGAGAACTGGGGCTGGCTTGAAGGTTCTTTGCCTCGAGCGCGGCTTACCAGCAGTGTTGCCTTGAGATGAGTACTCTTCATTCGCCATCTCTGGTTTCGCCGGCAGACGCTCGATGGAACTAGTGATTGTGGTTCGTCAATTGGATTCTCTGTAGAGGAGCAGCTATGTCAATTAACAAATATTCTTCGCTACATCAATTGTTTGGGGTGGCTGGCTATTTATATGACTTGCATCTATTTAACTAGAGCATAACGCTTTACGATGGACTTAGCGCACTGTGGCGTAGCAGCATAACGGATATAGTATACCTGTTTGTGCACATCAACTTAGCGTGGGGCCTAAGTACTCCCCATCTAGTTCCTGGCAATGACCGTTGGGCTACGAGCCTCAAACAGTGTAGCGCCTTCGAGCGGAGGTGCCCAAAATTCACATGTGAGTACCATCAAAAGATGGGATATAATATGCAAGACAACGTCACCCCATACTGTTTTTTTACATGAACAACCAATTTTTGACAATTTTTCTTCTCAATGAAGAACGATATTCAATATCAATCGTGATATTCAGTGTCGTAAACTTGGTGAGCTATATCTAGCCCTGTAAGCCGGGCAAATTCAAGTCCGACAAGCTGTGTTCCGCCGTGGCAGGCGAAGGTATTTGAGAAGCTAGGTCGAATAGTTGACGAATGAAATTCTCAGGGATATAAGATAGGCTTCTGCTTATGGTCCTAAGATACAACAATTTTTACTTTTAATATCCCTTTGGGGCGACACGGTTGTCTTGATTTGCAACGAGTTAGAGGACTGATCAAGAGAATACCTATTCAACAGCCCAGCGACTGCGTGAGGTTCAAGTGTCGGAACAGCATGCATAAAGAAGCCTTCATGTAATTTTACCTTGTAAGTAATAGATATTCGGCTCTTTGAATATCTGCTACTGTTATTACAATTTTTTCTTGGTAGCTGTTCCTATAGCTGTATTTCTCCAGTATTTGCTACCATGACTCTATGTCCATTCCTAGTCTCCGTTGTTGTAGCTCTATCCCTCTAATTCCTGCTGCTACGGCTATGTATCTTTAGCTGAAGCAGATATTGATCACCTCCTACACGCACAGCCATTCATAGAAAGAGAGCGACATATTGGATCCTGCATCCCGTTAATGATTGCCCAGGCAGAAGATCAAAGAAGACCCGGCAACTTACAAAATACGCGCGCCAATCAGCGGATACCATCACTCCGGGGTATGCAGGTTATGTGCCACCAACAACGATGTTTTTTGGCCAGCCACTTGGAACTAAAGCATGTTTATGGATGTGAATCTGGGCACTCTTCATACGATTTTTATGCTATTTGCAGTAACCAAGGACACTCTTAGCTGTGCCGGCAATGAAGGCGGAGCCCCGGATACAGCTACCGGCGAAGAACTAACCTCATACAAACAGTACGGATGTCGCTCTTCCGCTAGAATCCTCGACAACCTTGGTTAACACTGTCGGCACCTTTGAGAACATGCCATTCCTCTTAGACCCATCATACCCATCTTTGTTCGGTTGAGGATAATAGAACAATGTGATTCGTCTGAAGTCGCAACCTAGATCTAACCACAAAAGCCAGGTGTTGGAGAATCGCTCACAGCTGCGCAGATAGTACGAAAAACAGCATAGAGCGCTCCATCGCGGAAAGTCCGACAAAGACCAACCCCTCCGGATAAATGACTACGATTGTGTACGTTAAAGTGCAGACTTATGCCTATACTTAAACTCATCTCGTCATCCCAGCTGCGGTGACAGCAATTACCCGTGAGCCCAAGATGATAAATAGTCTGCACTCAAGCCCATGAGGTTCTACTCATGGATTCACAGTTTACACCTCTGATTGATGGCCCTTTTGCTTCTTCACCAAGTTCACAATGAAATCGTCCATATGCCTCTGTACTGCCGCCCTGGCAGCCGTTGGCCAGGCTACAGCAAATCAGTCACTGTACAAGAATCCTCACGCTTCAATTGATGACAGAGTATCAGATCTGCTCAAGCGCATGTCTGTCAAGGAAAAGATGGCTCAATTGATCCAAGGCGACATGTCCAACTACCTCGATCTCACGTACGGCACGTTCAACAAAACGGGTCTCGAGTGGAATATGGAGTACCGAGCCAACTCGGTCTGGACGGGTTATTATACCAACATGACGACGGTTAAGAAGGCTGCTCAGCTGGCACAGGATTATCTGGCCAAAGAAACAGAATTAGGTCAGACTTGGTATTTGGAATTTCTTGATCGAATACCTTCTAACGCCTTTTAGGCATTCCTGCTTTTGTCCAGAGCGAAGGTCTTCACGGATTTTTGGGATTGAATGCTACCATTTTCAACTCCCCAATTGGCATGGCGTGCTCATTTAATCCTGAACTCGTTGAGGAAATGGCGAGGGCCATTGCGACGGAAAGTCTAGCCCTTGGAGTCAATCAGCTTTTCGCTCCGCTAGCCGATCTTGCCCGAGAGTTAAGATATGGCCGAGTGGAGGAATGCTTTAGCGAAGACCCTTATTTGTACGTCTTCTTACTCATAGTACCTTTTTTGAGTCGTGTACTAATATGTGTCGTCAGGACGGGAGAGATGGCGTACAGCTTTGCCAAAGGTCTTCAGGAACAAGGTGTCTCAGCAACAATCAAACATTTCGTACGTCGGCCTTTGTTAATTGATCCCGAAATAAATCGACTAACTGCTGCTTGTTTAACAAAAGGCTGCTTTTGCATCACCAGAGCAGGGTATCAACACTTCCCCGGTGCACGGAGGTGAACGTGAACTAAGGTCTCTGTATCTCCCACCATTCAAGAGAGCCATTATCGATAGTGGTGCTACTTCTATCATGTCGTCTTACAATTCATACGATGGAGTCCCAATTGTTGCGAACTCGGATGTCCTTACTGACATTCTCCGGGGTGAATGGGGCTATAAATATTTTGTTACTTCCGACGCTGGTGGCACTGCTCGCCTTGCCAATGCATTTTATGTCTGCGAGATTGAGGATAACGATTGTATCACTCTAGAGGTACGCTGGAGACTTTACGCTTTCCTATATACAAAAAACTAACGGTTATAGGCTCTGCCTGCTGGCAACGATGTCGAGATGGGTGGTGGATATTATAGCTTCGAGTCTATCCCTGACCTGATTGAGTCGGGCAAATTGAGTGAGAACGTCTTGGATACTGCCGTTTCCCGTGTGCTTCGTGCGAAATTCACACTGGGACTTTTTGAGAAGCCTTTCACTGGCGTTTCTGACAAAGACATCTTCAAATACATCAACACCAAAGAGCACAAGCAAATAGCCCGACAACTTGATTCGGAGAGTATCGTGCTCCTTGAGAACCACGAAAACGTTCTACCTTTGAAAAAGGATGCGAATGTCGCTGTAATTGGTCCCATGGCTCATGGCTATGTTAACGTGAGTATCTTGAAGTTGAGATTTTAGATTCACTCGAAGATAGTTGGCTAATGCATGCCTGGGTAGTACGGAGACTACGTAATTCACACTGCAATGACCCGAGGCGTCACCCCTCTCGATGGTATCAACTCTGTCAGCAAAGGCAAAGTCACTTACGCCAAGGGATGCGAGCGCTGGTCCAACGATGAATCCGGATTTGATGAAGCCATTGCCGCCGCCGAAGCATCGGATGTCGCTATCGTCGTCGTCGGGACCTGGTCGCGAGACCAGAATGAGCTTTGGAGTGGCTTCAACGCGACTACCGGTGAGCACATCGACGTGAGCAACTTGAACCTTGTCGGCGCCATGCCACGCCTAGTCAAGGCCATCATCGGGACTGGAAAGCCTACGATCGTTGTATACAGTTCCGGAAAGCCCATCACAGAGCCGTGGATATCAGAAGAGGCATCTGCTCTTGTTCAGCAATTCTATCAGTCCGAGCAGGGCGGCTACGCTCTTGCAGACGTTCTGTACGGCAATGTCAATCCTTCCGGTAAACTCTCTGTGAGCTTCCCTTACGATGTTGGAACTCTGCCCATCTATTACGATTACCTCAACTCTGCGCGGTCGTATCCCAACCCAGGACATGTGTATGAGAACGGCACCATTGTGTTTGGTAGCACGTATGTTCTTGAGAACCCAACGGCACTTTACGAATTCGGATACGGCCTCTCGTACAGCCAATTCAAATTCTCTGACATTTCAGTTTCCAAGTCTCGCGTTTCCGCTTCTGATACTGTAACCGTCTCTGTAAAAGTGACAAACACGTCGAAGCGAGATGGTGCAGAAGTTGTCCAGCTTTATGTCAAGGACGTGCTGGCGTCTGTTGAGGTACCACGCTACCAGCTGAAGGGTTTCAAAAAGGTCACTGTCAAGGCCGGTAAGTCTACAACTGTCAAAATTGACCTTTCGGTGGAAGATTGGGGTCTTTGGAACCGAAAGATGCAGTATGTTGTTGAGCCTGGGGAGTTCACTGTGCTCGTAGGTAACTCTAGTGAGAACTTTCAGGGCAATGTAACAGTCACGGTTTCATGAGGTTAAGTCCTATCAACGATTTTATAGGCATAGTGGCAAAAGGAGAAATAAATTAGAAAAAATGCGATTTCGTTTAAGACGCTGAACGCTTAGCTACACTAACATGAATGATACCTTGGCAAGACCTGCTGGATCGTGTGCTCTGGCTCATCAATTATGGAAGCAATAACATGGCTAAAGACCATGGCGATAGCTTTAGCTTCAGTCTCTGGAATCCTCCCATTGTAGAAATACAGAGATACCAGCATTGCGTCACCTTTGTCAGCGACACTTAGCACAATATCGTACTGTAAAATGTTCGCTTCCTGATCTTTGCCTATGTTCGTCAAAGAATAACTGACCTCTGTAGGATCTCTTGACCATAATCTCTCCAAAGAGGTAGTTTTGTCTGGAGCTATTTCTTGATTGGAAGAGTCGTCCCTTTGGAAAGAGATTGTAGCATTAAATAGAGATCTCCCTTGGAATTCCCCGCCTGGGGAACTCGTTAGAGTGAAGCTCTGGTTAGGTGAACTTCTCACAAAATCTTCGTGAACATCTGTGAGTAGCTGCTGTAGCAAACTATCTTGCAGTATCGTGCATTTGCAAGGGACGAGATTTATGTAGAGTCCAACTGCGTCTTCGATCCTTTCTACAGGAACATCTCGACCAGATACAAGATAGCCGAAGCATACCTCTGAGCTCTTGACAAAGTTATCTAACACCACTGCCCATGCCGTCATGAAAATGTTGGCAACGGTCACTCCATGTAGTCGAGATGCTGCATAGACCTTGCTGTTTAGATGTTCCACAGAGATGTCGACCGAGCTCAGCTCGCCTGTTGCGATGGTGCTCTAAAAAAATATTTTGCAATAAATTCCACGGCAGGCGACTTATAGACAGCTAGATCACGAAGGAATTCGTTAAAGTCACTGCTTGACCCTCCCACTGCGATGATTAAAATATAATGGGCAATAAAGTAGCATATTTTCAGTCTATTCCGTAAACCGACTAAGAACGTAACACATTTAGGCCTGTCAGTAGCCACTCCCTGTAAACATGGTTTATTGTGTATCATGAAGTAACTTTAAACAGATATAAGGTCCCTGAATTAAAATTAAATCATCATCAAAGAGTCATTTATGGAGGTTATATGACCAAGAAGGTCAGTAGAGCTGCCATAGCTAGGTCAGCGCAAGGCTACGCCCCAGTCTTTATGTCAAAATCCAGAATCAATCCGTAGCTCAACCCGATCAGCCACAGCCGACCAAGTCAAACCTCGAAGACTCGGGCCGCCAAGTATGACCGATGAAGGTTCAAGATCAAACTCAAAACCCAAAATACATGCGCAAAAAGGCCCGAACAACAGCGGTTATTTATATATGTCAAAGTTTATTTGATGTCTACTATATTCAAGCTGGACTCTATGTCTATATACAATGTTCCTCTTTTCCGTGTAGATGACAGTAAACGGGCTAGTCAGAAAACAACTTGCGAGGGACGCGAATGAGACAAATGCTACAGAAATCCTGTACAGTATTGATGAATTAAGCAAAGCTCGCGCTGACGACGAAGCTCACGTCGTCGTTGAACAATGTAGTTGAATCAAAATCGTGCTCGCCGCCATTGGCCGCGATATAGAGCAATGCATTGAAATGACGCCAATAGCGGGTAGGATAGCTCCACGAGCGGAAGGAATTGCCCTGGCCGTTGAGACCGGCTTGTGGGCAAAACGTGGCGTCTTCAGAGAAGAGCTTGCTGCCGTCGTTGGCATTAAGCATAAGCTGAAAGTTGGAGTGGCGGATGAAGCTTCCAGGGGTATCAACAGATTCGAAAGAGAAACAGGCACTATTTCCGAGACCTGTACGGACTGTCCAGCTAGCTTGTTGCTTAAGGGCAGTGGCGCTAGACGATGAGACAACTTGAGTGTTGACAGTGGCACCAGTATGCGCAATATAGCGTGTTGTACAGCAAGAAGTTGTAGCTCTTAGTGAGATGGAGGAACCGACGGTAAGAGCAGGACCGCTAGTCATCAATGAAGTGTCATAGACATATTTGGCAGCCACAATATTGGCCTGAACCGAGGCCTCGGTGCTGTCTGAGGGATAGCCAGAGGTCATGACGCCTTCGTAGAACGTGCCTTGGGCGCCATCGCTGTTATCTCCACCAGTGCCGAGAATAATAGCACCCTCTTTGCTCATTGGGTTATAACCACCCGAAGGGCGTGCGCCGCTGTAGAATGTCGAAAGTGTTCCGGATGTAGCATCACCTCCACGGATGGCCCACTGATTTGGCTCACCCTTGATGATTGCAGTGACAAACCGAAAGTTTATGGTCGGGTCTGCAGGGTTATTGATAGGACTAAGACCAGAGAACAGGCCGTTCTCAAGATCTGCCATAATCCATGGACCACTGCCAGAACCAGTCCCACGGCCAGAGCCATCTCCAGTGCCAAAGTAGATGGCTTCCATATGGCCGTTACCCGTGTCGCGACTATTGGTCTCGGCGTTGCCATAGTCAAAGCAGCAAGCCGTATTATAGTGAGTTCCATCAAAGATGGCATACATGCCCTCTGATCCATCGCCCGTGGCCGTACCATTAGCGGCGTTGTTACGATATCCAGTTGTAGGGGCGATGAAGACACCATATGCCTTTTGGCCGTTCAACCGAACCGGTGCTGCAAAAGCGCTGGCCAGATTATCAAAACCACCAGGCAGAGGTCCGCTTGCAGCACCTCCGGGCGGAGCTTGGGTGAGGTGATTGCCATGACCAGACTGGTCATAGATGGTGGTGATAAGGCAAGTCGTGCCAGCACAGAATGAATCTTGAGCAGCGGCATTGGCAACACCACCAGCAGACAGCGGCGCTATATTCGTTGTAGCGCCATCAGAACCGCGTGATACTTGATATAGCGACCCGGAATAAGCCCCGTATAAGGCTCGTGTGGTGCTATGCGCAGCAACACATGGTGTCCCACCAGATGCGTAGATATCGCAGGGCCCTGCAGCAACAAGAGAACCAGTGGCAACGAGGCCAAAAGTCAGGACGCCAGAGCGTCGGTGGTTCACTCGGGAGAACATATCAGAACGTAGTGTTGTTGTGTAGGGTCACAATGAGATGGATCGACGAGAATGTTGATCTGATTCTGGGGCAAGAGGGCGATATCGTTGGGCTTTTAAGCTACACAATGACTATCCTGTTTACCTGTGCGCCGTCTCAAACCTAATGAGTGGTCTTCTTTTGAGTATCGTAAGAACATCTAACACAAAAGAGGCAGGAGATTGCCTTTGCAGTCATGGATAGAGTATTGCATATGTTTGCGAATGCTACCCATGGGCGTGCCCTGCTCTTAATAGGATCTAATTCATCATGCAGGCTGCAGTAGTCTTGAACATTAATTTGAAAAGGCCGACATAGTCCCGTGTATATTGTGTTCTTGTGCCTTGTTTTCCGCTCTTCAATATCTGGCACAACGCATCTCATGACAGCCAGGGCATGAGGTCACCGCCAAGGCACGGGTCTTAGACGGATCGAAGATAAGATCAACAAGCTCTTACTCAGTTCGTGTCTTAGCGGCATTTTACTAAGCTGATTTTAAACTTTATAGAGAGCTCAACAAAAGGAAACAATCCGACTAAAACCCCATTGAGTTTCAATAATTCGACTTTCGATGATGCAGCCCACATAAAGAAGGAGAGGTGTAAGCAAAAGAGAGACCATGTTTACAGGAATTCAACTAACAAAAACCCCTCAAGAATTGATAATATGTTCGGCTTTACTTAGCCCTTACTTACATCCTTCATCTAGGCGTTCCTTTCAACTACCGGCGTCATCGGAGACTATGACGGACTACTCCAGTCCCGGCTCGATATTAACCAGATTCTACCAAACGCTTGAAACAGAATACCGCTTCACTAGTCACCAGGCTACTTGAATAGCTTCCTTTCGGCTTGCTCAATTTGGCCCGTGCGGGAATTTCCACCAAGCGTACCAATAGCAGCAGATATTCCAGCGCTGCCTGAAGAAGGATCAAACAAGTATCCACTGCCATCGTGGGGAAACCTTGTTAATGTCGGGAATTAAAGCCGTCCTGAGGCAACATCACATGTCCAAATCAGAGCATCATTCGAGCTGCCTTTCATTATCCTTCCAAGCTTGACCTCGCTTCAGGAATTTGTGCTTAAATCCGAGAAGCGGCTTTCCAAAACATGATACCGACGAAGCTGCGCATTAAGCCTGTTCTCTGGTTGAGCAGATCCCTCGTGATTGGAGCGGGATTGCGCTCTCGTTGTTGCTCACGGGAATCACAGAGTCGCATTCGTGTGGGGAAACCCCTGCCGAAGCCGAAGCGAGGGGAAGATGTTGCTGTGAGATGATCTATTTGACGTTCTTTGCCCAATCATAGCAACCAAAGCAGAGCCGATCCAGAGTTCAGGAGCGCGTATGACTAGATTTACAAGTCCCAAACTAGCCGGATCAGCTGGGACAGCGTTTCCTCGGAGGATGAACACGTGCTAATACGGCGCATGATGGTGGATAAGTAAGAAAATAACACAAAACGAAAAGGTCCGCCGCCGGTCTAGGTAAGTAAAAACATTTAACTCTGTCTGCTACTAAAGACATCATAAACCCCCAGAATAAAGGCGTATTTTACTGTAAATACGTCAGTCGGGAATACGACTCGTTTCCAGAATCAGGAACCAACTGTGGCGGATTTCCATCTCCGGCAGGAGGTCCACTTCTTAATTACTTATTTAGGGAGGTGTCTATTTTCAGTTCTGTGAGCTTGCAGCCACAGAAAAGTTACCCTGCTGCTGTCTTAAACAATGATTCTTTTTTTTCACGGGTTCGAACACAAACTAACAAGGTCCACAATTAAAGTCACAAGGTTCCCGAGGTCCAACTGTAGCTATAGCATTCCCTTCGTGCGTAATGTCGTATCGTACATGGGTTGGTATAAACCACATGTGTATCCGATAATATTCTGTCAAATTGCCAATGACCTTTCTTGACCACAAAGGTAATAGTGTCAACCAGTTTCAAAAAATTTCGAAACCAAGGCAGTGAATGGTTCAGGAGAGTTATGGGAGCCGAATACATGTACTCTTTCGCTGCCACATCTGGCTCTACCATCAAATGCCTGACTTGGACTCAACAGCCAGCTTGATAGAAATTAATGCTGATTTACACTTATATCCACTTGTCTTCTATGAGACTTTTTCTCCTTTTTTTTTTTTTTTAAGTGCCAGGGACAAGTGAATAAGAGAGAATTAATTATTGCAGCGCACTTAACGTCATATCGTCACGATTGGTGATTCATGAAGAGGCACGCCCCCTCATAGGTTTTTAAAACATCTTTTCTCGGCGATTACCATAGAGTATCTAGTTTAGTTAGATAGTGCTAAAAAGTGCCCAGTATAGCATCAATCAGTAAGTAGGAGATCAAGTATGTGCACACTTATAGTGCTTGCGGATATAAAGGTCCTCGGCAGAAGTATTACTGTCCAAAGGGTAATTGATTTCATAATCATATTATCCGAACTTGTGAGCATATTATAGATTCTAGGATGCGAAATTACCTAAAGATATCAAGACTAGGTTGAACAGTCTTCCTCAGGGCTCGAAAGCATATAGCCATGGCATGAAACTCTATATTATCTAGTTTCTTATGCTTTCCAAGCTGGTAATTGGCCCCATAAGCGTTTGTAAGGTCTGTGCGTTTTATTAGCATTATTTAATTAGACATCTATTGCAACCAAACATACCCATTGTTCAAGATCGTCTTCATTAAGATCAAAATTCCTTTGTGCCTCGTCAAGGCGTTCTTTAATTTAGAGTCTGTATTAGCTTTTTTGTAATTGCTATTAAGTTACGACGCCATATAAAACCACTTACGCGAAGTATAGAAAAGCCAGTCCTTAAGTTCGTCATCCTCTCTAAGCTGTTCAAGAAAATCCATAGCGCTTGAATCATTACCAATCTGACTAATTTGAAACCGAACAGCTTTTAAAAATATTAACATTTAATATACTATACTTATAAAAATAACTCATTGAAATAAAGGCTTACCTTGAAAGGGGTATCCATGATTGTCAAGGAACTCAACGCAGTTTATAATCGCCTCTTTAAAGTAGGTTCTCGTTTCACCAGTAGCACAACCATCTGTAATACAGAAAATAAGAATAGGCCTATTTAACTTCGCTCCTTTATTAATAACGTCATAAACGAGGGGTTGAAGAATCTTCTGCTGAAGCTCGGTGCCAATCCTCGTTCTGCCACGGAGTTCAATGGCCTTCATAATTTCTTCGACTTGCTCTACATTTAGCTTTTGGTCTATCTGGCGCCTGTCATTTATAAATTGTAAGCCTGTTCCATAGCCTTCAGGGACTAACAATGTAGAAATTCGGGCTGCTCGTCGAACAAACTCAATCTGGTCGATGAAGCGGGTGCCTTGTATCATAGAACTGCTATCATCTATGAAAAGCAATATAATAATTAGTATCTGTTCATTTACTTAATAATATAATATACCTTCATTTCAACTTACCACAATAGAAGACTAGTTGGTAAAGAGCAAGATTCGCAATGTCTTGGATATGTTTTGTTTTCAGCTGGTTCTCAACCATTCCTTGAAGCTGCACCGCTTTTTTAGCGACCGTCTCCAAGAATTGATCACCTTTCTCGAAGAAATAGTCGAGGCCAGTTTCATTGATAAATTTCACCATGCTAGCCTGAAATTCTTCTGCTGTCATTTGCTCTGAAATCTCCTCAGAAGTTTTGTCCGACATGTCATCTGAATATGTTCCTCTGACCTCAGGCACATCAGAGTCCAACGACAGGGATCCCCGTTCTACATCAGATGATTCTTTGGAACTTTCGGCAAAGTATTCCTCGGGAATATATACCCACTCCTGTTTAATTGGCAGGGGCTGTGTTGGAAAGAAAACGAACGTCTTGATATTAATCTTCTGAATATGGGCGCTCTCTTTTTCCTCGGTACTCTTAAGCCACTCTTCGACCTTTGCACAAAGAGCAGGGTTTGGCGGGTCAGTTGCATCTCTGACCAAAGACTCAGCCCAAGGTAGAGCATTAAGTGAGAATTCGTGGATGCAGTTGCCGACATGCTCAAGGTTCGCGACGGCATCTGGTGTCTCTTTCTCATCCTGAGGCCATGGACACAGGGGGCACTGAGGAATATTCGGAGGAACTATCTTACGACATGTGTTTTGTAGAACGATGATTTGATCTTCCGATATGGTGTCTATATGCTTGGTCCGGTTGTGGCTGACAAACTCCTCGGCAGATAGGAACGTGTTCGGCATTCCAGTTCCAGCACAGGCCAAACATTCCCAGTTCTGGCCTGCGCCGTGACTTTGGAGCACATGATCACGCCAGGCTGCCCGTGAGATGTACAAAACTTCTGGTCTTGGGCATTTTGGAAATGGACATGTGTAGGGACAAAGGTCTTCCATAAGGTGTTTTCTATAAACATTAGTAAACATTTATTAAGGATTACATTAAATGTAGTTAAACTGTGACATACCTCCATCTCGACCAATTCTGAAACATTTCTGGTAATGTCTGATAACAACAAGGGCACTTAAATCCCCTCATCTGCTGAGATATAGGAGGAGGCGAGGGATAATGCATTGTTGCAACTGACACTGACACGCGACTAGCAGCTGCTGCCATAGGTATTGCTATTTGCAAGATGTCGACTTCCGGCACAGAAGGTGTAGTCGCGCTCATTTCTGGGCCTTGGAGGTTTTTTGGCGGAGCATTGGACGGTGTTGTGCTTGGAAAATCTTCTGTTGGCAGTGACTTCCCATCATCTGAAGCAGGCGATCTGTTAAGCCTAGGAATCATTCCTTGGTGCTTCTCAGTTGTGTGTACAAGCGGCTTAGACATCGCTACCAGAGGATTTATTGTGAATTGGTCCAACTTTTGTTGATGCCGTCTCGCATATCGGAATCTATGTCGACGCCGCAAATTTGCTAGGATCAGATGCTGCTGCTCTGGGGTCACCTCCCGCATTCTTTTCTCAGTAGTGTTCTCCACGTTCTCTTCACTATACTTCTGCCTCCCAGCAGCACTGTTGAGTAATATGAACTCAAGGTGTTTTTGCAAATCCTCGTTCTCGTTGGGTTTAAATGATGAGTCGGCTTTGCGTAGTCTTGCGACTGTTCCCGACTTTCGAATCGCGAAGCCAAGCATAATGAGCTGGTCTAGGATATCATCAACGTCTTTCATTGCTTTCTTTAGCGTCACTTCAGAATGCGGATCGTCCACCCGTCTCCTACGCTGGAATCTGTAGAAGTGTCCGAGGCGGTCTTTAGGCTGTAAGCCAACGCTGTAAACCAAGAGGTAGAACTTCCAGTAGGATTCGAATCATCACCAAGAGTTAAATCTAAAGTACTCTCTGCAGGAGACACAGGGGCGATATCAGATTCTGCTTCATTGTCGATGTTTTCCTTTTTATCATGAGTCTCGTTCAAAACATGCATGCGGCAGCTACTGATGAATTCCCGAAGAGTTAGGAGAAGGTTGATCAGGACCAGTCGAGGCTTTGGCTGAAACCGTAGTCGTCGATCAAGCGAAGCATCAGGACTCGCCAGTGCACCAACGCCTGAGGCCCAAAGATTTAGGTCGGCAAGTCGACTCTCAGCCCAGCCCTCCTTCATAAGAGGCTTGATGGATAGACAGCTCTCGAAATCAGAGATGCATCCCATTGTTGCATGGTGGATGTCTCCAAATTCGGGCATCTGAGACTCAGAAGCCGGTAAAGTCATGGTAAAGGCAGTACAATGTCAATAGGGCTTTAATAGTTTGCGATTGAGGTAGAATGCGGCAATATTTGGACTACGGCGATTGAGGTGGTCATTCAGCCGTACGCTGTTAATCCCAAGAATTAGGTCTGGTAACCGACGCCTGACAAACGATGAGGAGTGCGATTTGGCGTGTTGGGGTGATAGGTGAGTCTGGCGCCAATACTTATGTAGGAACCATGATGATTCAAGTAGTATTGAAGTGCAATGTAGAATTTAAAACCGCATACGATTAGGCTGCCACTGAGGCTGAGAGATTTTCCCTCAGTATTAAGACGACTGTTATTGTGAATGGTGGACTCAAGCCGCACCACCTGGCATCTCCAATCAAGAGCGAGCTCAATAGTGAACTCTACCCCTCCTTTCCCAGCCTTGCAGCAGCTGCCCAACGATCTCCATACAATCGCTCCCAGAATCATCGAGATTGGAAAGCAGGAAGCATTAGTTATGAAAACATGAGTGAGCCTATGAGGACGGCATAGGCGAATACAGACACTATCTTGTGCCGGCTGGCCCCTGCAAGATATCGGCCCCTTCTAACGATGCTCCTAGCTCGTTCGACACCCAAACGCACCTGTTATTCTACTGCGATAATTTCTCATCCATCAGCTGCCTGATCATGGAGCCCTTGTCACAGGTGGAGCTTGCCCAGCGTGCGGCACAAGACGTCGCAGTAGTTGCTGGAGAACTCCAAACCAAATGGCGAGGATCCTGGTTCAGAAACTATTCCAGACAGGAGCACATCAAGAATTTGGTCATTCTAGCCACTTCTCTCATGTGTATTTCATTCAGCCAAGACAAATACGAACAGAGAGAGCACAGTGATCAACAAGATGACGAGGCGGTCAAGTTAGAGACATTCTTGTGCGGATTGGAGCTGGTTTGTACAGTCCGTAATCCCATCTACACCACCCGTATAAGGGAAATCTGTCAATTAACTAGAGCATGAAGTACCCCACGAACAATTTAGCCAAGTTCAACCAACAAAACGAGCCTTCTGCTCGCTTTCCAACGCTCAATGCTTTAGTTACTGCGAACCCTCTAGAGACTATCCGATCAGCTTCAGATATCAGCATATTCCGCAAAGTACAGAAGAGCGTAGAAGAGTTTGCGTCAGCATCAACCTACATAACTGGCCCGTACTTCGCTTTTCTCAAAAGTTTCTCTGGAGTCAAAGACCAGGCCAAGAGGCATGCCGAATCGGCGCAACAAGATACTGAATCACAACTAAATCCCAAAAATACAAAGACGAAATCAGATGAGGATGAAAGTTACCCAAGGCATGTTTACGATACACTGTACAAGGTCATCAATAAATACTCGAAATGTAATTGTGGGTTGCCCAACCTATCGTCGAAAACACCGAAAAGACATTGGGGAAGACTCGAGCTTCAGGCAAACTTTGGCTTAATCGACGATGAGATCCTTTTTCATACGGTATTCTCAAAGAGAGGATCATGCGAATACGACGAAAAGATCGAGTGGCAGCACCTACAATTTCGTGTTCCAAGGCATGTTGACTTGCTCAGATACAGAATACAATTGCTAACCCAAAGAATCCAGAAAACAACGCAAGGCGCGGGCGGTGGGGTTTGCAGATAAGATGTGCTACGATGCTGTTCAAGACGAGACGAGACGAGACGATGCCACAGAGGTGGCATCGACTTCCGAGTTCTGCAAGCTCCTTGGCAAAGATATCGGCTCAGGGAGTATGGATGTCCGCATCAAAGACGAAACACTGCTCGACCTTAATCGCGCTGTAGGGATTGAAGTCGACTTTGCTGATGGAAGAAGTATTTCATTAGCCGATGTGCTCAGTAACAATTCCCTGGTCCCCAAAACTAAACTAATCCTCGCCTATATACTCGCTAAATCTGTCTGGCAATTCTACGATTCGGACTTCATGGGTGTTTGTTGGACGACGAAGTCTATTCAGCTCTTTCGAGAGAGGGAGGACGAAGATAATGATGATGAACCTGGTGTTGACTGGGCGCCATATTACGCCTTCTCATTAGAGCAGATGACGGAAAGAGACTCCATGGAGCGGCTGCCACCGGGGCAATTCCTTCACCGATACCCTCGTGTTCTGGCACTTGGTACCATACTTTACGAGCTTGGTCAGAAGAAGCGTTGGGAAAAGCAAGCAACTTCTTCAGGCCCGGCCTCATCCACCAACCATATCGAACCTCCAACCCTCGAAACGATAATAAATGACGCCTCGTCCAAGATCCGCAAAGGAGTACAGAAAAAGAAATGGCCCGACATCAGTCTGAAGAATACCCAAACGTTGGAGGAATATCGCGTCATCGTTGCAAATTGTGCTAGCGAAAACTTCTTCCGGCCAGATCCGAAGGAGAAGCCGCCGAACTCTCCGGCGCACAGTCTTCAGAAAACGGCGGAAGAATTAGAGGAAGAGCTAACTGTTGCAGAGAGACGCGCAATTCTCTTTAAGAAGGTTGTTGCACCCCTCAAGAAGATGATCCAGAGTACTGGCTGGGTTGACGAGTCGGGCAATATTCAACGTTACTCCATAGAAGGAGCGACTGCACGACCGAAACCCAAAAGACCCGATTTAGAGAAGTCAGGATCGGAGACACTTCTCGATACTCCTCAGACATCTCAAAAATTTCGAACTCTCCCACGCGGGATTCAAGATAGTCGAATAGCATCGAAGTTCGTCACCAACTGGGGAAGCTCTAGCCTCCATGCCTTGAATGTGTCCAACTAACAGATTGTGACAGGCCTGAGGCCAAGGCAGGGCTGAAAAAAGCCAAAGGAGTACCCAGCGTACGTGCTCCCCAAACGGCGCAAGGCCTTTATAGCGACGAGGCCAAATCCACGCGATGGCAAGATAACCTAGTGGACCAGCGCCTTCTACAAGACCAACGCGACGTTACGGGTAATAGTTTTGGCAACCGTACCGTTATCCATCAGGGTGACAATCATTACTACTCGACTTACCCGGCTGGATGATACGAAATGGCTGGGAAAGTAGCATGAACTTCTATACCTTATAGGGGAGAGGCCTAATAAATCTAGAAGCTATAAGAGAACTGCCATCCATCTTCCGCAAAGGAGGAGAATGTTCTCTATCATGTCTCTTGGGGTCGTTGCTGACGTTTGGTTAATCTCCTAGCGTCACTAGAAATGCAAGCAACTCGAGCCATTATGACGCCGCGGAGTCCTTAGTATCCCGGCTATTCAAGCCACGAGGATTATGTCTATAAATAGGAACGTTAAACCGGAAAGATTTTAATTCTTGGCTCACAAACTATCAAGTTGCCCCGTAACTGTGGCTTTTTAATTCTAAAATTTGTAGGAGTTGTTAGAGCCAGGTCGGAGCTTCCGTGTCGTCGATTTACATATATCAGGTTACTTGTCTTACCGTATCCTCACAATGCCCTGTTGTTCGGCTGCATCGTGCGGCTTGCGCACAACGATAACACCAACCACCGATGTTAAAGCTTGTTCAAATGATTTACTGTGCCCTATATCCAGTTCACGGGTAAAAGGCTCAACTGATAGGGCTTTTGTGTCGATTTTGTGTTAGAGAACGAGCTGTTTATGGCTTGTGGAAGAAACTTAAAGATGGGAAGCTCAATAATACAATAAAGCTGACTGTACTTTGGTCTGAATGACCTCCTTAGAGCGAGGAGTTGCAGATATCCTCCCCGAAAATACGGACTTGGGTCAAATAATCCACTAAGTCTTAATCTGACTCGGAGCGATTTCAATTTTGCTGTTTATCATAGTGGTGGCTACAGACTTCAATCTTACAATGCTACATAATGCAGCATTGCTCAGTTGTGGTATATATATCTGAATCTGCTTACTGTTTATTCTTTCTGGAATCGAGCTGACGGATCATTAACCGGACTGATAGGCTTCCCGGTTTTAAAGTACGCCCGAATATTTTCGAGGCATTCTATCTCAGCAAGCCGAAAAGCTTCCTGAGTAACGCCACCCATATGGGGCTGACATATGACCTTGTCGCTATTTTGGAAATAGCTATTGATGTGAGGTTCGTTGCAAAACACATCAAGCCCAGCTCGGGCAATTTTGCCGGATTCAAGAGCCTGGATCAAGGCATTTTCATCGATAATGGCCCCGCGTGCAGTGTTGACCAAATATGAATTATTTTTCATAACCGCAAACTCGGCTGTGGAAATGAGATTGCGAGTATCGTCATTGAGTGGGCAATTGATCGATATAATATCCGACACGCTCAATAAAGCATGTAGAGAGTCACAATAAGAGGCGCTGTACAAGGCCTCCACTTCGTCGCTCAATCGATGACGATTGAAATACTTGACGCACATGCTGAAAGCCTTCGCCTTTGACGCCACTCGCTTGCCCACTTTCCCCATTCCAATGATGCCAATTGTCATACCCGTGATATCGTGAGTGGGATACAGAACGCTGGTCCAAGCACCGTTGCGGAGCGTCTGCTCTGTGCGATACGTATCGCGTACAGCAGCGAGAGTTAGGAATATAGCCATGTTAGACGTGGATTCGACTATTGCATTGGTCGTATTACATAGCCAAATTCCCTGGCTCGTTATCCATTCAACGTCAAACTCGTCGTATCCGGCTTTTGACGAGGTGATGATACCACACTCGGAAGCTAAGGGACCGAAAAGATCTTGGTCGAAAGGTGCATACGTCATTGTGCCCATTGGTACAATAAGAGCGTCAATAGGACCATGCTTAGCTATGAGAGCCGGAAGTTTTTCTTTCACTTCTTGACGATTATCGGCTTCGAGTATCTAGCAGAGCTTGGATCAGCCGATTATCTTTAACTGCTATTGAACGCAACGTAACCTACGTACAGTATAGTCGAACTCATTACGAAAGTCTGAGAGATATTCTCCTCCGTCATGTCTCGGGCAGCCAAGCCAGACGACAAACGGCCTTTCTCTGCGGGTTTTTAGTTGCATTATCGGAAGGAAGTATGCGGATTATAGAACAGAGGTTTAATGAGTCATACACAAATGGGATGTGTAGTTTATTGGAATATTATAGGAGATGATACACGTTTTGAAGTCTGGGCAATAGCTTATAACTTGTACGAGAATACTGAAATAGAAATATGAACATGGGTTTTGAGAACCAGAAACTCAGCCTCGGTAAACGCCATGAGCTCACGGAATACAGCGGCATAAGATATCGTAGGATATACCCAACACCGTAATTGCATACGTGGGGTATTATCACCTAGTTATTTACGATGAAGATACTAAACAACAACGAACTGAACTTGTACATTTGATAACATCCCCTGGAATTGCCCCCGACCATAGAGAATCATGGCTGACCCAGTTCGGAATATTATGATAGTATTGGCGGCAATCACGACGTACGAAGACAATTGAACGCGTTGTGTACGGATGCAGCTCGAGGTAGAAGAACTCGACCTTTGAGAGATGTATACTCAAACCCAAGCTATCTAGTTGCTCAATCTGGCGGATCTCTGATAGGTTGGTAGATCTAGCTGCGATGTCGGAGTGCCTCTTGCATTTTCAATGCTCCTCACTTGTCATCGGCTTCTTTCGGCATTTCCACGTTTGTATATAGCATAGGTGCTGACTCCTCATCTTGACTAAATAAAATGACTTCTCATCTTGACCATCCGTGTTGATAACAATGCGAGGAGAGTGTCAACGGAGATCGACCTCCGCATGCGTTCTCACAAATACCATGCGCTTACAAATGTAAAAACTCCGCATTCGCTCAGTGTGGGCTTAGTTTTGAGGTTGTGTATAACTCAATTCTTCGTGTACATTGCATTTAGATGAATTTCGGGGCGAAAGGATGCGCTCTTCTGTATGATGACGCAGTTTTCTAAGGCATCTGACGTTTCCAGCTCAGTCGGCGTCGAGCCATTACCCGTGTATTCTATGACCCTTTTCTCGCCTAGATCAGTCAAACCTTATACTTGCTGGATAACAAAGCATCTGTCTCATCTGGCTTGTAATCAAAATATGTTTCAAGCTTGTCATACTCAGCGTCAAAGCCTATTGACTCTCCTATTCATTATAAGTTTAACTTCTATAACTGTGTTACAGCTGTTGAACCTTTAGCAGACTTCTATCGCTTGCTAAAATATGGTGTCCACTCACCGGGCTTCTCTAGGCGCAATCAGGTCTCCTGCCATAAGAAGCACTCGCTGCAGTTCTGCATATCGGCTGATGCGAGTCATGGATGGTTAGTCATGTTACGCTTATATCTGCATTTATACTCCGTAATTGATCGCTTACTCTGATCAACCATCTTCGCCGATTTGTTCCGTGTTCCTCCTGGATTATAGATCGACAAACTAGATGACGGTACAGGTAAAATGCCATCTCAAAGCTGTTTTAAAGGGAGTACAAGTAGTAATGGGCGTAATTCGTACAATATTAAGGCTGAGGTATGCTTTGCAAAGTCAGCACCGAAACTACGAGTATGAATAATGCCACTGGCACTCTAGTGGCAACATCAATGAAAATGGAGTCCAGTGACCGACTCTCCTTTGTATTCAACAGTTGTCAAGATCCAACTATATAGATAGCTACAGCTAGGGTATCTCTTCACCTTTGATCCCTAAAGGTTGCGGTAAATTC